TTTCTTTCTTTCTTTCTTTCTTTCTTTCTTTCTTTCTTTCTTTCTTTCTTTCTTTCTTTCTTTCTTTCATTCATTCATTCATTCATTCATTCATTCAAACAAACATGTGAGCACCAGGCACTGTGCTAGTACACACAAGACAGTCCCTGCCCATTACAACTGGGGGTGGAAGGAAGAGCATAGCCAGACAAGTGATTAGAAAATTTTAACTGACAAATGCTGTGGAGGTGTACAAAGATGCCAAGAGGACAGGTAGGACAGGAAGGGAGTACCTGTTAGGCTAAACCAAAGAAGGGAGCAGGGAATAGATGGACTTACCGGCAGAGGGTACAGTATATGCAAAGCCCTGAGGTGAAGACCTTGGTAGGTATAAAGAAGTAAAAGAAGGCAATGTGAGCCAGAAACTTAGAGAATCGGAGGGAAGAACTGTAAGAGAGTTATGAAAGAAGGAAGAAGGAAACCAGCCTACGCAGTGCTTTAAATACTGTGATCAGGACTTTAGACTAAACCCTGGAAAGGTTCCAAGGAATATGGGAATCACATGGCAGCTTTATCTTTAAAGGACCACTCTGTTTGCAGTGTGGAAAGTGAATTAGAAGCTGATGGGGAGCAACAACTAGAAGTAGGGAAACAATTTACTACAGCACATTTCTGCCACTAGCTGGCTTTTCTTATAGCTCAGGGTCAGAGGCAAATATGAGTTCTCTGCCCTTTCATGTGACAGATGTGTAAGAACTCAAATGCACATAACGAAAGAATAAAAGGGTAAAGCTTTATTAATAAAACATATTTATCGTTAAGAAAAAGGCTACTGCTGAAAATCATGATGGAGGCTCATATTGGGTTCAAATGTCAAGTGATAATTAGGAGGCAGAATGAAAAGAACCAAGGGATTTACTGGGAGAGGGAAGGGTGGAGAAAAAGAAAAATGAGAGAGGGAGAGAGACTCCAGGCAGTGAGCATGTGCACACAGATGACTCCCAGATTACTCATCCGAGGAAGCGGTGGCCAGGGATACCACTTACTTGGTAATGAGTGTGGAACAAGAAAGGAAAGGCAGGGATTAAGGGATAAGAACCACAAGTTCAATCTTACATTAGGGCTCTAAGATGTGAGATTACTTACTGATTTAACAGGAGTTTGGTCAGTTCCATATAGTAAGGGCTAGGCATAGGGGTAAAAGTTTCTTCCATTCGTTCATGATCCCTAATCTTCTCCAACTTTTCTGAAATTTAGAAATGAATACATTTTACCATCATCACAACCACAATTTTTTAAAAAATCTTCCAAATTTACCAACTGCCTATATTACCTATTCAATCAACTAGCAAATATATTTTTAAAAGTTTTTGGAATATCATTTGTATCACTAATTTGATTCAGGGCCTAGTTCCTGGAAAACATCCGAGAAGGTATAAATTATTGTTATTGTTGCTTTGCCTGCAAAATATATTAGTAAAAAGAATGTCAATCAGAAGTTCTTCTCTTAGTGAAAAAACAAAGTATTCTACTTTTGATGCAAGAAGTGATGAAAGTAACCAGTGACTGGAGAAATTTATTTATACTAAACCTTGTTCATAAGAGCAAGTCTACAACTACAGCTACTCCAGTTAGGGGTGAGATGATAATAATGGGAGGTTGGAAGCCCAGCATTAGAATCAAATAGCCGAGTCCAATTCCATCCAGCTCTTGCACTCCTCTCCACATCCCACAACTGCCTTCCCCCTCTTTCCCTGACTTAATAGCCTGAGAAAACCTCCAGTCCTAAATCTGGCTAAGTTCACTGTGGCTAAGGGACACACACAGACACAACCATGCTGTAGGGTCTCACTTTAAAGGACTGACCACCCATCTCCAGGGGGCCCTTGGCTCTATCCTGCAATCCTATGAAACTTCCCTGATCCATTCACCCTCTTCATGCCTTCTCTCATCTCACTGCCCCAGCTCTCAGCCACTGCCTTGTGGAGTGCCTGCATGCTCCCACCACCACATCTTCCTAACCTCCCTGCATCTATCGCCATACACAAAGGCCAGCCTTCCAGGTATACACTGGACCCTCTCTCACCTGCACAGAAATCACTCCAGCAACTGTCTCTCTCTCTTGAATGATCATTTCCCCTCAATATATGACCATTCCATCAAACACCCTACAACATCTTCCACCTTAAAAAGAAAACCTGCCCTGGCTGGTGTGGCTCAGTTGGTTGAATGTCATCTCATGCACCAAGACGTCACTGGTTTGATTCCTGGTTGGAGCACATGCTCCGGTTGTAGGCTCGATCCCCAGTAGGGAGCATGAAGGAGGCAGCTGATGGATTTTTTTTTTTCTCTCTCTCTCCCTCTCCCTGAAATCAATAAAAACATATTTAAAAAAAGAAAGAAAAGAAAGCCCTTTCCTGACTCCAAATCTTACTCCAGCTACCAATCCATTTCTCATGCCCTTTACAACAAAACTTCAAGAGTTGTCTGACACTGGCATTAACTTCCCCTCAACCACTCAGAGGGGTGTCTACACCGCCCCTCCACCAACTCAGTTCACCAAGGTCCACATCCTCCACTAGGCCAAACCCTGTGGCTACTTCTCAGTCTCCACATCTGACAAGGGTCAATCCTCTCCCTTGGGGTGGATTTATCATTTAGCTTCTGGTACACCAGAGTTCTCATCTCACCAATTCCTCCTGACCTTCCTGACCCCTCAACACTGTGGTGCAGGGCTCAGTTCCCTGACCCTCTCCACCACCTAACCCCATATCCCACATGATCTCTTCCTGCCTCATTTAAATACCATCTATGTGCTCATAATGACATCTAAATTCACATCCCCAGATCAGCCCTTTCCCTGAACTCCTGACTCAAATACTCCACTGCCCATATTATTTCCATGTGGATTTCTATAAGGCACCTCCAGTGTAAAATGTTCAAACCCCCACTCCTGGTGTCCACTTTAGCCTACACACTGCTCCTGCAGTCTTCCCCATCTAAGGAAACAGCAACTCCATCTCCTTCTGTAGCTCAAGCCAACAACCCTGGTGCTAATCTTTAATTAACTCTGCTCTCTCATACCCCTCAGCCAGTCCTTCAGCAAATCCTGCTGATTATTCCTTCAAACTATCCCTAAACTCCAACCACCACTGCCTATTTCAATCAGCTGCTCAAGCTCCTCTCAGCTCTTGCCTGGGTAACTCTCTCCTGCTCTCTCCCAACACATATCTTCTCTGCACAGCATACTCACTCTTTTCTTTTTTTAAAATCTAAATCAGAATATGAAACACCTCTGTTCAAACCCTGCAACGAATCAAAAAGATTGCCATCCAATGTTGGCCAGGATATGGAACACTGGAAACTCTTGGACAATTCTGGGGGGGTTACAATAATGGCTCAACCACTGTGGTGGACTGGTTGGCAGTTTCTTACAAAGTTAAGCACAGTCTGCCCTAAGACTGCAATCCTACCCCTCTAGAAATAAAAACATATCCACAATAAGACATGGGCAAGGCTGTTCAAAGCAGCCATATTCACAACAACCAAAAATGGGAAATAACCCAACTGTCCACCAACAAAAGAATGGGTGAACAAATTGTGGCATACTTATACACTACAACTACTCAGCAAAAAAAGAATGTAATGAGACATGCAACAACAGCAGTGACTCTCTAAAACATTATATTGAAAAAGAAGCCAGAGGTCAAAATTGACATACTAGATGATACCATTTATATGAAGTTCAAGAACAGGAAGAACCAATGTGGTGGCAGAATCAGAAAGCAGTTGGTTCTTGGGCAGTGTCTACTGACTGACTAGTGAGTAGACACTACAGCCCAGGACTATGAAGGAGCTGGGGTTTAGATGGGCCAAAACTGCCAGAGCTGATCTTAAATGAGGAGCCTTGAAGGGAAGCAGCCCTAACAGGTCTGGTGGGACTAAAAAAAACCTTCCAAGCAGAAGGAATTGGAGTTTCCCATTATGTTTCAGGGCCACTCACTCCTTTAGGACAGGGAGTAAGGAGGAAATGCCCAAGCAGTCTATTTCTTAAACTACATTTGAGAGTGCCTGGCCGAAAGTGTCCTTGCTTCTAGGAGGCAGGTATCCCCAAGTGATTCCCAATGGGGAGGGGACAATCAAAATCCCTGAGCTTTCCAAATTCTACATGCATGACTATTCTATTATTACCACCACCACCACCACCACGACGAAGATTCTTTGCTATAATGAGACACTCATATCTTTGATAGGGACAAGACTGCAAAGGATAAAGTCAGGGTAAAGTCTGTCTGTGTCTTTGAAGGATTATTTTTTGCTTTTTTCTAACAGCTTTATTGAGGCATAATTAACATACCACACAATTTACCCATTTAAAGTATACAATTCCACTGTTTTTAGTATATTCACAGAGTTGGACAATATCTTCTTTACCCCCAAAAGGACCCTCCACAATCCCTCTATCACCCCCAAAACCTCCATCCCTAGGCAAGGACTAATTTAGTTTGTCTCTGCGGATTTGCCTGTTCTGGAAAGTTCATATAAATGGAATAAAACAAATATGGTGTTTGTGGGTGTGTTTTTTCAGTTAGCATAAGGTTTTCAAGGTTCATCCACATTGTAGCATTCCTTTACATGGCCGAATACTATTCCCTTGTATGGATGACACATTATTTTCATGCATTCTCTATAATGTAAGATAACTCTGCTCCTCACCATGTTCATCTATATACTTATGTTTTTAAATTAAAACAAATGCTTCTTTAAGGTCTTATAATACTTTAAATTTTAAAGCCAGGTGAAACAGCTTTAAAAACAAAACCTGACCTAAAGGTGATATACGCACCACCCTAAACTGACCCCTGGTAATAGGCATCAGCTGACGCTAAGGAGTGAACCTGGAACCATTAGTTTCAGCCGATCAGCGGATCCTGGAGTCGACCGCGGAACCCTGGCCCCTTCACCCACGTCCTTACCCACATCCATCCACTCCGGAGGAAGCAACCGACACTTCTGTCTTTGTTTCAGGTTAATCGCCAGCCACAGAGGCACTTGCACTGGTAAGCCAGGGTTAAAGGGCCCCAGGTCCCCCTGCCGGAGGAAAAACAAACCCCGGTAAGACAAGACGGAGCGGAAGGCATTACTGGACCTCGCAGCTGTCAAGTAACAGAACGGGCCCCGTGTCCATAGCAGTCCAAAGACAAATACAAGCCCCGCCCTCGCGCGTGGGGCTGGCCGCACCCGCAGCCCACCTGAGCCCGGTTTCCCGAGGCGCTGCGGGAGGCCGCCCGAGAACACCTGCGAAGCGCTCGCGGGCTCGCTCCAGGGGTCCCCCCGCCCCCCTCCAGACCTCAC